TGAGCCCCCCATTACCTACCAGTGTCGGAAAATCGATTTGTGGCGTACCGCTGACCGTCAATCGGTATCCTTTCATTGTGACGAAGCTGGGCACGTTTACAGAGCTTGCCGTTATCGCGACGCTCAGTACTCGATATTTCCTCGCTACCCTTATTACGCTCCGTACGACGATCGACGCACGTAGAACGACGCTTCATGAACACACCGCCGCAACATCGCATAGGGCCCGGGTCAAGTTCTCCACCTCCTGCGTGGGGCAGGTCACCTAATCGTCACAATTTTGCCTACATCATTAGGGGCAGGCCTTCTAGCCAGCGATGGGGAAACTAGACGATGTGACTTCGGGGATTGGGGTTGTCAATAATCGAACTTCTGAACAGCCCTCATTGCAGACATAAGGCAGCTCAAAGCAACATACGCCGAAGATAAAGACAGCAACGAATAATTCAACGAATGGGGCAACTGCCGACGAAACCGACGTTATCAGTGCTGAACTCGTCGTTCACATTGGCGGCACCAAGGGACGGCTCTTCTAGACACCGGCTCCCACTTTTCTATAATAAGCCAACAGCTAGCCGACAGACTAAGCAAGGTGAAAATGCCATGGCACGGACCCAACATAAGAACGGCAGGAGGTCAGTTGATGACACAGGTTGGAAAGGGCACGGCCCGATCTTCATTGCTGGTTCCACCTTTGTCATCACCCTTGTCATTCTGCACGACTGCTGGAAACAGCTCATATTGAGAATGGATTTCTTGCGGGAATACGGGGGAGGGGGGCTGTGATTGACATCCTTGACAAAAGCGTAACGTTCGTTATGAGCTCGGACACTGATACAGATAAGGAACCCCAGCCATCTCAATTCCGTATTGCCGATGACGACGTCTTACTGCCGCCACGAAGATGTTCCCTTGTATCCGCGCGCATTGACATCTTACAAAACGGTGCTGGCATCGCTGAACACATCAAGGAGCTCGCATTCACTAGGGACATTTCTGTTGTCAGGGCCGTTGTCGCTGTTATATGGATGAGCCGAACTCTTGTTGACAAATTTCAGCAGAGAACGCCGACACTTAGTTAAAGGCACGGCTTTTGCCTTTTTCGACGATCTCGCTCAAACAGAATATTGTCATTTAGTGGAGGTAGCAGCAGCGACTACTATCACTTCACTTACACCTGTCGGAGTCGGTCCAACGTTATCTCCCAATGAGCGAGACCACCCTCTCACGTTGATCTACAAGTTCCACAGCTGCTTCGCATCCACATCAAGCGTTGGTAAAATGGCACTGACAAACCACTGCATCATCAGAGAATCCAACGCCAGACTCATCTGGCAAATTCCTTATCGATTCGCCCCAAGCGTGAGCCCCGCCGTGGTGGTCTAGTGGATAAGGTACTCGGCTGCTGACCCGAAGGTCGCGGGTTCAAGTCCCGGCTGCGGCGGCTGCAATTTCGATGGAGGCGGAAATGTTCTAGGCCCGTGTGCTCAGATTTGGGTGCACGTTAAAGAACCCCAGGTGGTCGAAATTTCCGGAGCCCTCCACTACGGCGTCTCTCATATTCGTATAGTGGGTTTGGGATGTTAAACCCCACATATCCATGAATCAATCAAGAAGCGTGAGGCAAACCAAAAACAGGTGAAAACGATGCTAGAAGACGTTGATATTCGGCCATCTAACAGTCATTGGGCATCACCTGCAGTACTCGTCAAAAGGCAGGATGGCAGCTTGCGCTTCTGCGTCGACTACCGGAAGCTCAATGAGATCACAAAGAAGGACGTCTACCCTCAGCCGCGTATTGATAGTTCATTGCATAGACTACGGAACGCACGCTACTTTTTGTCCTTTGGTTTAAAAGTGGCTACAGGAGAATTGAAGTAGATGAGAGAGAACGTTAAAAGACCGCCTTTCTTATGCCCGATGGAGTTTATAAATTCCAGGTACTTCCTTTTTATTTGTGTTCAGCGCCAACAACAATCCAGCGTCTCATGGACACGCTACTGTCAGGACTCAAGTGGCAAACCTGCTTGTTGTACCTCGGCCACGTGATTGCCTTTGCGGCGACTTTCAAGGAACACCTACGAAGGCTTGAAGCAGTTTTTGAAGCAATACGCTGCCGGTCTTACTCTATAACTCGAAAAGTGCCACTTCGGCTTCCACGAACTTTAATTCTCGGTCACGTCGTGAAGAGCCTAGGAATTCGACCCGACCCGAATAAAATAGCTGCCGTGGCGAACTTCCCAATGCCAACGAACGAAAAATCAGTGTGGCGTTTTTTGAGACTTTGTGACTATAACCGCCAGTTTATTGCTATTTTTTCGTGCATCGTATGGCCATCGACACAGCTTACTCGGTAATATATTTCGTTCTGATGGGGCGAATACCAACAGCAGGCACTTCACGAGCTTCGTCAGCGCATGCTAACAGCTCCCGTGCTGCCCCACTTCGATGAAGACGCGCCAAAGATACTACATGCACACGCTAGGAATGTGGGTCTTGGAGCAGTGCTCGTACAGTTGTAGGACAACAACGAAAGGGTGATCGCCTACGCCAGCAAGACGGTGTCCCGAGTGGAAGCTGACTACACTACGACGGAGAAAGAATGTACTGACTTTCTTCCTCGGTCTCCCTTTGAGACAGCATCTCCGGGCAGCGACGACCACGACACGGCCTTTCTGGGAATTGTGGACACTGCCGCCTTTTCTCAACAGCAGCGTGCAATGCTGAATTGCTACTAATAAATTACCCACAAGGGGGAACGAACAGTGTGCCGAAGTCATTTGCGAGAGTGGTGCCGTCGTACTGCTTGCGAATTAACATTTTTTATAACAAGAACTTTTCACCCACCGGCAGCAGCTACTTGCTCGTCATTCCTTGTTTGCTTCGCCGTGAGCTACTGCAAGCCTGCCGCAACGAACTTAGCGCTTGTCACTTGGGTAGCGCAAAAACATTGGTGAGGGTAAGGCAGAAGTATTACTGGGCAAGACTGGCCGAAGTTGTCAAAACTCCTGTACAGGCCTCTGCTGATTGGCAGCGTCGCAAGCCACCATCCATCGAACCAGCTGGCCTGCTGCAGCCTGTCTGAGTGCGGGTGACACCGTTCGCACCTATTGGCATGCATTATCTGAGCCCCTCTTCAAAGTCTGCTACTGGAAACAGGTGAGTATTCCTCGCCACGGATTACCTGACCCGATACGCGGAGACGGGCGCTATGCCACGGACGACGGCACCTGAAGCGGCGCAATTCTTCATCGAAGCTGTCGTTTTAGGACACGGCGCTCCCGCAATAGTCATCCCCGACAGAGGTACTTCGTTAAGGGCCGAGCTTTTGGACACTAATATTCGACTAAGTGGTACAGCTCCCAGGAAGAAAATGGTGTATATTTTTCAGGCCAATGGGCTTACCGAACGCCTCAACAAGACCCTGGCTGACATGAAAGCCATGTACATAGATGTAGAGCACATGAACTGGGACGTCATTTTGCCCTACGTCAAACTCGTGTACAATACGGCCCGTCAGGAAACCACTCGGAAGACACCCTTCAGTCTCCTTTCCGAAGGCGAAGTGACGACGTTAGGCGCAGTGCTCCCTCATGAAAATGTTGGCGATGAGACGGACTCCGAAGAGTGTACGCAGCTAGAAGGAGAAGGATGACGACTTGCCAGGTTGCGAATCGCCAAACAACAAGACGACGATGCCAAACATTACAACATCCGGCGCAGACCCCTCATATACGTGGACGACAAAGGACACCTATTCGTCAGCGTGGGCTCTCCGAAAAGCTGTTTCGAAGATACTTCAGACCCTACGAGGTTATGCGACGCACAAGAAACGTCAGCTACGAGGTTGTACTGGACGACCTCCAGCACTCGAAGTGCCGCAGACATTCAGCAGAAATTGTCCACATGCTTCGGTTGAAGCCTCACTTTCAGTGAATACCTGTGAAGTTTCGGTTTTGCCTAGCTTCTCGAACAATCAAGATCGGGGCGATGTATTTTTTAAAGAGAGAATATTACAGCGCGTATGTGCCAGTGGTGGCGGCAACGATGCAGCGCGAGTGTCCTTGTCCAACGGCAAAAGACGAAGAAGACGTTGCAGTCTTTTTTCTGTGATCAACAAAGCGTATGTGTTTGAGGCACTTTGTGTGCTCGTCAATCTTGCGTCATTACAATATTGCCATGTTCCATTCCTCAAGTGTCGTTATCGCCGCTGTCATGATACAGAGGCGCGGAAAAAAAGCATTCAGTATTCACCGTGCGGGGGCGAAGAGGAAAACGAAGTGTGCGCGTGGTGCGTGCGGTGGTTTGAGGCAGCGCGTTCAAGGAGTCAGTTCTCGGCTGGACGCCCGGTCCGGGAACTAGAAAATGGCATCTAGGCGCTTTACCGTTCCTCGACTCTGGTTGGGCGACTGGCCCAAGGACCAAGCCCACTGCTGTTCTGGCTGCCGCTTCGGACAGCTGGACATCCTGTGAACGGGGCCTGTACTCAGGCTGGGCGACTGGCCCAGGGACCAAGCGAGGTTCCGCGGTGCTGGCTGCCGTCCAGAGTGGCTGTGGGTTTTGGTTGCTGCTGATATGCCCGGGAATGGGTTGAGGCTGCCACCCAAGATCCGGCGAAGGATGACTATTGCGACGCGTTTCACGAACAAGTAGAAGATGCGTTTAATTTACATATTTGCAAGGGAAGTACATTGCAACGAGAGCGTACAGACGCACCCTTCCATCACAAGGGCCCAGAGTGCACTCGAGACGAGCGGGCCAGCGAAACCCAAAGGGACAGCTCAGCGCACTCCCGACACACTCCTTTTATAGCCGTCCGTGCACGCGCTAGACGCTGACTGTGTGTCCCAGCGACGCTGATGTGCGTTTCCTGCGGCGCACACAGACGCCTCCCGCGTTCCTGCAGGACGTGCGGAGTTTTAATTAAGGAAAAAGATATCGAGAACATTTTATTTATGGAAGGCAGCGTTTTATTTAAGGAAAAAAGTTCCGCATGTGCGATGAACGAGAACCGTTATGGTTTCCCCTCGAGTGACAATACTGGCGGAGGGAAAAAAGGAAAGAAACGTGACCCTCCTAATGCAAGTGTGGATGAAAGGATACCAGTATTTCTGGTACAACAAATGCCTAGTGTTGAAGGCGAAGTGTTGGGTAACCCAGTCAGGGTTCGTCGAAATACGGGCAGTAATACTGCAATTATCCGAAGAAACCTAGTGCCAAAACAACGGTTGACGGGGGAGAGTAGCAGAGTCTTACTCATTGATGGTTCCGCCAGAGAAGTACCAGAGGCCAAGATTTCCGTCAACAGCCCATACTTTAAGGGAGAGATGACCGCACTTTGTATAGACAAGCCGCTTTACAAATTGGTGCATGGTAACCTACCAGGTGTCAGAGATCCTCACAAGCCAGATCTTAAGTGGAAGCCTCCTAGAGTCGACAAGAGCGACAATGTGACGCGAGACTGCAGCATGGAAGCTGAGGAGTGTCCTCAGTATGTTTCCGCTACGGTCAAACCTCACGAGGACAAAATAACACCATTGTCCGTGCCAAAAATAAAATGGCGTGACGTAACAAAAGACCAGTTAACAGAAGAGCAACAAAACGACAAAACATTGAAAGCCGTGTTTGCTAAAGTCGGTAATGATTTCAAGTCACCAAAAGGCCACAGTTACAAGTTTCTTGAAATAGGAGGACTTCTTTACCGAGAATACTATTTTGTGACAGGCAGGAAGTTTAGCCAGCTCGTCGTGCCGAAGATCTTCAGGAAGCATATCCTTGAAGTCGGCAATGAAAGTTTTATGGCAGGGCACCAAGGCATTCGGCGAACGACAGATCGCATTTTAGCGGATTCTGACTGGCCGGATCTGCATGGCGACATGAAACGGTTCGTCAAGTCCAGCGACAAGTGTCAGCGAACGACACCAAAAGGAAAAATTGGTGTTGCGCCTCTAGAAAACATGCCTGTAATTCGTACGCCTTTTGAGCGTGTTGCGGTCAAGTTAATTGATCCGTTCTCACCGTACTCGGACCATGGCAACCATTACATTTTGACTCTTATCAACTTTGCCACCCGATATGCGGATGCCATTGCACTCCCTGCAATTGATGCTGCGCATGTAGCTGAAAGACTGATTGAGATTTTCTCTCGAGTCGGCTTACCGAAGGAGATCGTTACCGACCAAGGAAGAAGTTTTACAGCGGAACTCATGGTAGAGGTGGGCCATGTTCTTGCCATCAAGTTTTTTCAAACGACCCCCTACCATGCCATGGCGAATGGGCTCATTGAGAAGTTTAATGGAACGCTGAAGATGATGCTCAAGAGGATTAGCCAGGAAAAACCACGATCCAGGGACAGGTACCTCGCCCCACTCCTTTTCGCTCACAGAAAGGTGCCGCAAGCGAGCTTAGGCTTCTCGCCTTTTCAGCTAATTTACGGTCGTCACGTGCGAGGACCACTGAGGGTGCTGAAGGAGCTGTGGAGCAATGAAGTCATCAACGGTGAAATTCGCACTACCTATACCTACTTGGTTGACCTTCAAAACCGCCTGGAAGAGACATGCAAACTTGCGCATAATGAATTAGAAAGAGCACGCGCAAAACAAACGTCAACCTTCATGTCAACGTTCATGTCAACCTTCACCCTCCGTCAACATTCATGATAGATGATGTGTCCTGCTCCGATTCATCCAAAATTTCTGAAGCCTTCAATAAGTATTTTCAAACTGTATTTGGAGATGACAATGGAACGACCCCTGACATTCGTAGCAGCCAGGAAATAGATTCGTTTCCAGCAATTGAAATTAGCTACACTGGCGTTCTTAACCTTCTGTTGAATAGCGACACTACTAAAGGTGCTGGGCTAGATGGCATACCAAACATGTTTTTGAAGCGTTACGCAGAATGGAATGCTCGTTATTTATCAATAATTTTTGTTAAATCATTAGAAACAGGTATTGTGCTGACCGTTTGGAAAATCGCCAATGTAATTCCTGTATTTAAATCTGGTAATAAGCAACTCATTTCTAACTACAGGCCTATTTCATTAACGTGTACCTGTTGCAAGCGTTTAGAGCACATAATTCACAAACATGTACTTCAGCAACTCACTAATAACAACTTATTGTCCCGTAATCAGCATGGTTTCCGCTCTGGTTTTTCTACAACTACACAGCTCATTGAATTCACTCACGACATCGCTTCGGCTCTTAATACTCGAGGACAGGTTGACGCCATATTCATAGATTATAGCAAAGCATTTGATGTAGTATGTCACAAAAAACTTCTTACCAGACTCCGAAGTATTATTAACGATGACAAAATAATAGGCTGGATAGCTGATTGGCTACGTTTGAGGTCACAATTTGTTACGTTTGAGCATGCGCAGTCATCGTCGTGTGCAGTCACTTCCGGGGTACCGCAGGGCTCGGTGCTTGGGCCGCTATTGTTCATTATTTATATTAATGATGTCACACAGATCATTAAGGACACACCAGTGAAGCTGCGATTGTACGCTGACGACTGCGTTTTATATACTAGCGTAAATAATGCTCATGACCAAGATGTTCTGAACAAAGTATTTTCGTCCTTCTGTGGTTAGAGTGCCACGTGGCAAATGAACATTAATTACCAAAAAACTGTTCAAATGACATTTACTAACAAAAAACAGCCGCAAACGTTTAGTTATAGTTACAATGGGCACTACCTAAACTCTGTTAATACATTCAAATACCTTGGTGTTACCTACACTCAAAACCTAAAGTGGCACCATCACATTGAAACAATTTGCGCTAGAGCACTTCGAAAACTGGCATACATAAAACGAACACTCAAGCACTCTACCAAGGACTGCAAATTAACAGCGTATAAATCGCTCGTCCGACCATTGCTAGAGTATGCCTCAGCGGTGTGGTCACCCTATACTGCACTTGAGATAAATATGCTCGAGGGTATACAGAAAAAAGCAATACGATTTATATTTGGCCGGTATGACCGCAATTTTTCTCCCTCATCTCACGCATGCTCATTGTCGTTAGAACCCCTTGCTTTCCGACGCACACTTGACCGTATCACTCTGCTACATAAGATTGTACACAGCCGCAGTTTCATTGAAGCACCACTTACTTTTTGTGATTCAGCACGACGAGCCACGCGCCGATATTACCAACTGAACATTGTTCCCTTCCAGCCATTTGTAAATTGCTTTAAGTATTCTTTTTTTCCAGCCTTTGTTGAGATTTGGAACAACTTAGATGGTTCCCTACGCGAAAAACCGATTGAACTGTTTTTGAAAGAACTGCCTCACCATATTTTGTAATATGTGTTGAATGCTTTGTATGTTTTTTTTGGTATTGCTTAATGTATGTCCGTTCCTTTTCCTAATGTACCCACTCCTGCTATGCCTCGTGTATCGAGACAGCAGTATCTGTAAATAATAAAAATAATAATCATACAGACTTACTACGACCTCAAAAGCCGTCTTTGAAATCTAAACGTCGGGGATAAAGCGTTACTTCTTTCGCCGACATATACCAACACACTGCGCATGCAGTGGAAAGGTTCATTTGAAGTCGTCGAAGGCAAGAATGAGGTTGACTTCGTTCTCGCGATAAGTGGCAAAAGAAAAATTTTCCATATGAACATGCTCAAAAACTACGAGGAACGTGAGCCTTTACTAGTACAGCAGGTGTCGGTCAGCCCCGCCACGGTGGTCTAGTGGCTAAGGTACTCGGCTGCTGACCCGCAGGTCGCGGGTTCAAATCCCGGCTGTGGCGGCTGCATTTCCGATGAAGGCGGAAATGTTGTAGGCCCGTATACTCAGATTTGGGTGCACGTTAAAGAACCTCAGGTGGTCGACATTTCCGGAGCCCTCCACTACGGCGTTTCTCATAATCATATGGTGGTTTTGGGACGTTAAACCCCACAAATTAATCAATCAGCAGGTGTCGGTCATAACCGAAGTTTAAGGGCCACCGGAACCGAACGAGAAAATGTCAAGCGAAGCAAGCTCACATGAGATTCTTTACCCTAGCTTATTTCGCACACAGACTGCGGATGATGTGAAATTATAAGAGAATCTGAGCATTCAACAGCGTTCTGATGTGCTTGATTTATTCAAAGAATTTGAGATAATCTTTTCGGACCTTCGAAGAAAAACTGACCTAGTAGATTGCACTATGTTATGCAAACTTCTGAAGTGCTGTCGACGTCAACTGAAATTTAGTGAATTATCTAGAACTTTGTGACATTTTTTCCGCGTCTTCCTGACGTCATAGAAGTTGTAAGCAACTTTTTAAACGGGGGGTTTTCAAGATACAGAGGCGCCGAAAAAAAGCATTCAGTATTCACCGTGCCGGGGCGAAGAGGAAAACGAAGTGTGCGCGTGGTGCGTGCGGTGGTTTGAGGCAGCGCGTTCAAGGAGTCAGTTCTCGGCTGGACGCCCGGTCCGGGGAACTAGAAAACGGCATCTAGGCGCTCTATCGTTCCTGGACTCCGGCTGAGTGACTGGCCCAAGCACCAGGCGATCCACTGCTGTTCTGGCTGCCGCTCCGGACAGCTGGACATCCTGTGAACGGGGCCTGTACTCTGGGTGGGCGACTGGCCCAGGGACCAGGTGAGGTTCCGCGGTGCTGGCTGCCATCCAGAGTGGCTGTGGGTTTTGGTTGCTGCGGGCCTGATGTTCCTGCTGCCGTTCCGGGGGGCTGGCGCGACCCCGGCGCGCTGATGAGACGAGCGTGGTGGCGGAGAGCTGCTGCGGAGCTACCAATTAGCTACCGACTGCTGCTGCTGCGGCAGAAGGCCGTGTCATGGTGTGTTTCGACTCACGTTGAGGACGGCAACGAGCCAGACGGCGCACAGCCCACGAGCGATCGGCGCTGGCGACCCGCAAGCCACATCAAAACACGGCTTGCAAGACTTTTCTAATTTAGAGAGACATTGAGTACAGCTATAGACTGCGTGTTTCTACTACTTTAGGAGTTCCTCATTCATAGTTACGTTCTCTGTGAATATATTCTCGTTTGTGTGTCTGTGCACTCGTGGTTCGATTTAGTTCCTTGCTGAGTGGTTCTGGGCACAAAACTGACACTAAGTTACAGCCCTAATGCACTACACAGTTCTAAGCGGATACAGCGCCTGCAGTGTTCGAGAAGCTTCATGACTGTAGTAGATCATTTTGATAAGATCACGCCCACTCCGCGAACTGTACAGATTATTCTGAAACCTACGTCAACGCCAGCAATAACGCTAGAACATTTGATGGCAAGAGTAATAATGCCGACGCAATTCGCCGCTTGTCAGTAGTTGGTCGATGGCCGACGCTCCGTTCACCGCTATCTGTGCAAGACTGCTACTGTACTCAGACTTTCCGTTTACTGGGCACCGGTTCGCCCAAATAAACAGTTGAATCACAACATAAAGTCTACTGTCTTTGGCCACGTTGCGACCCGGTGACATCTGATGGAGGTGCTGCTTCGTTCATGTACAGGACGCCCCCGTCAAGCCGTGAACCCAGCCCCCATCGTGGAGAAGACACCGACGCCAAACAAAAGCAGAGAACAAGCCGCTGACAGCAAGGTCTACCACTGGAGTACCGGCCCTGACAAGACAAAGCGCCGGAGACCAAGGCCATGACCTCGACTGCAGCGACGATGACAACCGCAGCGTCCCAGCCCGCGATCATCATGCATCAGCCCAGGGAACCACCAACTTTCAATGGGTCATTGTTCGAAGGCCCGGAGACCTGGCTTGAAACATACGACCGTGTGGCCGCCCTCAATCACTGGGACAATGAAAAAAACTCCGTCGTGTGTACTTCTACCTGGAAGACACCGCAAGAACCTGGCTTGAAAATCGGGAATCCACGCTTCAAATGTGGAAGGTCTTCGGCGGCGCATTTCTGCAAACGTTCGCGAGCGTCGCTCCCAAAGTGAGGGCCCCTGCTTTACTAGAGAGCCGCTTTTACCTACCAAATGACAATGCTGCAATTTTCACCGAAGGAATGACCCGCCCATTCCGTCACGCTAACCCCGACATGCTTGAGGAGAAAAGTTTGTTTACTTCATGCGAGGGGTAAACAGGAGCTCTTCGAGACACTGAAGAGAAATCCACTGAACACCATCCAAGAATTTGTAGCCGAAACGACCACTATCGAAAAGACCTTGGGCGTGCGCTCCAGAGAGTATAATCGTCGTCTGACTCCAGATTGTGCTGCTTCTCAAGCCATTGACTCCGAAGCCCTGCGTGAAACGTTCCGAGCCATTGTGCGGGATGAGCTACGCAAGCTGTTGTCTTCGACGCAGCCTCCTGTGAATTCGATCGGGGACATCGTGCGAGAAGAAGTCCGGCAATTGCTTCGAATTCTCTAAGCACCACTGCCCGAGCCAGAAGTTATGAGCTACGCCACTGCAGTGTGCCACAAAGCTCTTCCCCGTCCACGCCAAAACGCCACCCCATCGCACTTCCGTCACCAGACGCCATCGCCGCCACCACCCCCACCGACGTCCTACCGTTAACGCCAGGGGGCCAGCGCATGGCGCCGAGGAAAATCGACGTTTGGCGTGCACCTAACAACCGCCCGCTATGCTACCACTGCGGCAAGGCCGGGCACACATACCGCCGTTGCAGGTACCGACAAATGGGACTGCGTGGCTTCGCCGTCAATGCGCCACGTCCGCAGCCAGTGGAACGGCCTCGTGACATCGCCACCTGACAGGAACTCGGTGGACACCACGAAGTCCTTCCCGTTCACCGTCGCCCAGCCGCCGCATGTCACCGCACCACCGGCATTATTCTTGCCCAACACTGGGCCGGTTTCCTAGCCCATATTAGGGAAACTAAGGGCAGCAGCCGATGGAGGTGCGGTTGCTAAGCGACGAACTACCGAAGATCCTGCGATGACGACAGTGCCGCGACGGAGCTTTCCGTACACCACGCCAACCAGGCAAAGTCTTGACGACGAAACCTCACTCACTGAAGGTGACCTGACGACGCAACATAGAAACAGCGGAACAAGCCAGCAAAGCCGTGACCCGACACTACGGCCTAACTGCAACGCGATACGGCGAACTAGCGCCTTGACGTTCTTATCGACGTCCACAGTGTGACCGCTCTTGTCGATACTGGAGCCGCCTATTCCGTCATTAGCAGGTCGTTCGCCGCGAAGTTGAAGGACGTTAGGACAGCTTGAGAAGGCCCCGAAATACGCACCGCCGGAGGTCATATCATAACGTCAGCAGGAATCCGCATAGCGAGAGTCACCATATACAGCCTTATTTACCCTGCAGACATCGTAGTCCTACAGCGTTGCTCGGGAGATGTCATCCTAGGCCTGGGCTTCTTATGCCTCCATGGTGCAGTCATCAACCTCAGAACAAAGTCAATGACGTTATCCACAGGAGAAGAACTACCGCCGCGAAAGCTCTCAGGAAACATGCTATGAATGTCCTGGAAGAACAAGTCACCATTCCGCCTCGCTCCAGCGTCATTATTTCAGTCGGCGCTCTTAAATCCCATGACTTGGAAGGCATCATTGAAGGCAGTCAGCATCTGTTGGTCACCCGAAATATTTGCGTCGCAAGAGGAGTTGCAGAGCTGCGGAAGGCAAAGCAACGTTTATCTTCAAAATTTCGGCAATAAGTACAAACATGTGGACAAAGGAACGACGGTCGCATACATCGAAGAAATTGTGGAAGCCACCAGTGCTTTCGCCCTCGTCGATTCTGCGGAACTTGCTCAGAGGTACCAAGCCCCACCCACAGCTTTTGACGTCAATCCCAGACTTCCAAACCTTAAGCAAGAACAGCTCAAGGCCCTGCTCCTGCAATACGAAGATTGCTTTTCGTCGTCCAAAAATTTGGCAGACCCCAATCACAAAACATCGCATCATAACCGCAGAAAATGCTAGACCACTCCGTCAGAATCCGTACAGGGTTTCGACGCGAAAACGCGAGGCCATGAAGAGACAAGTTGATGAAATGCTGCGGGATGACATCATCCGGCCGTCCAAGAGTCCATGGGCGTCCCCTGGGGTATTAGTGAAGAAAAAGGATGAGACACTACGTTCTCGCGTCGATTACTGCCACCTCACCAAAATCGCAAAAAAGGACGTGTACCCTCTTCCACGTATAGACGACGCACTTCATCGGCCCCATAATGCTAAGTACGTTTTGTCAATGGACCTCAAAACTGGCTATTGGCAAATCGAAGTTGACAGAAGAGACCGAGAGAAGACGGCGTTTATAACAACGGATGGCCTCTTCGAGTTTAAGATTACGGCCTTCGGTCTTTGCTCAGCGCCTGCAATTTTTCAACACGTTATAGATACAGTACTGCCAGGATTGAAGTTACAGACTTGCCTTGTGTACTTGGACGACGTCGTCGTGTTTTCCTCGAGTTTAGACGAGCATCTTTGGTGCCTTGAAGCTGTACTTCAAGCCACCACGACGTCCGGACTCACACCGAAGCAAGAAAAGTGCAGATTTGCGTACGATGAGCTCTTGTTCCTAGGGCGCGTGATTAGCAAGTCTGGAGTTCGTCCCATTTCACGAAAAACAGCCACTATCAATGACTTCCCACTGCCCACTGATAAGAAGGCAGTGCACCGATTTCCAAATTGTGCGCCTATTATAGGCGGTTCGTGAAAAGCTTTGCCTGCATCGACAATCCACTCAATAACCTTACCAAGGCCGACGTGGAGCTCAAGTGAGAAACGCCACAAGAACATGCTTTCCAAGAGCTTAAACATGGCCTCCAGACGCCCCCGTTACTTGCCCATTTCGACGAATTCGCCGAGGCAGAAATACGCACTGACGCGAGCAGCGTAGGTCTCGGTGCCGTTCTTGTGAATAGGGCTGACGGACTTGAAAGGTGTAATAGTTACGCTAGCCGATCGCTATCCAAAGCAGAAGCCAATTATTCCACAACAAAAAAGGAATGCCTCGCCATCATCTAACAACATTGAAATTTAGCCCTTACCGCTACAGCAGGCCCTTTAAAGTTGTGAGCGACCACCACGCCTTGTGTTGGCTAGCTACCTTGAAGGACTCTTCCGGTCGCCTCGCACGATGGAGCCTGAGACTGCAAGATTATGACATTACCGTCGTTTACAAGTCCGGCAAGAAACACTCCGACGCCGACTGTCTCTCATTCGCCTGTCAACCAAACACCGCCCGACGACCCGGATGACGACTACTTCATGGGAACAATAACTGCCGATGACTTCGCTGAACGACAGCGGGCCGAACCGGTACTTAGGGCACTAATAGAATACCTCGAAGGCAGGACCGCCGAAGTCCCGAAGATATTCATGCGCGCATTTGCGTCGCTCTTCCTGCGAAATGGTCTTCTCAAAAAGAAAAACTTTTCGCCACTCCGAGCCTAGTACCTCCTTGTGGTGCCTTCAACTCTGCGGCTAGGACTCCAGCAGGCCCCGCACTACGATCCGACAGCAGGGCACCACGGTGTTTCCCGCACGCTTGCGAGGATACAAGGAATGTACTACTGGCCACGTCTTACCACTGAAGTCACTGGCTATGTGAGAACATGCCGGGACTGTCAGCGATGCAAGAAACCGCCGACAAGGCCAGCGGGACTTCTGCAGCCAATTGAACCACTTCGCTGACCATTCGAGCAGATTGGTATGGACCTACTCGGGCCGTTCCCGACGTCGGCTTTCGAAAACAAGTGGATCGTGGTAGCTACAGAGTACCTTACCTTCCACGCCGAGACAAATGCCCTGCCCAAAGGCAGTGCATTCGAGGTAGCTAAGTTCTTCGTCGAAAATATCGTCCTACGTCACGGCGCCACGGAGGTCCTCGTCACCGACCGAGGAACGTCATTTACTGCTGACCTCACTCAAGTGATTTTGGCATACAGCTAGACAAACCACCGCCGGACGACAGCATACCACCCACAGACCAACGACCTCAACGAGCCGGTAAACAAGACGATCACAGACATGCTGGCAATGTACGTCGATTTCACACACAAGACGTGGGACGCCCTTCTTCTGTACGTGACCTTCGCATACGACACGGCGGTTCAGGAAACGACGCAGATATATCCATACAAATTGGTCAACGGAAGTAGCCCTGCAACGACGCTCGATGCCATGTTACCCAATGTTACCGACGACGAAAACCTCAATGTAATTAAGTACCCTCAACGCGCCGAAGAATCCCGACAACTCGCGCATCTCCGTATGAAGAATCAACAGACGACCGACAGCTGCCGTTACAATCTACGACGACGCTTCGTCGAATCCCAGCCCGGTGAATGTGTTTGGGTGTGGACGCCAATGCGCTGACGGAGACTCAGTGAAAAACTTCTGCGACGGTACTTCGGACCATACAGCGTGGTTCGCTGTCTCGGCCAGCTTGATTACAAGGTTGTCTCCGACGGCATCATGAACTCTCAACGACGGCGATCGCGACCTGAAGTCGTCAGTGTCGCGCGCCTCAAGCCGTTTCATGCACGTTAACAAATTGAAACAGTGTCTTTAGTATATTTGCTGTATCGCAATTTATTAATTGCACTTTCTTGCATATTCCTTGCACCTTCATCTCTAGGTAAAGCATCGGGACAATGCCTTTTTCAGAGAGGAACGATGCCACTTTTCATTCCTCAAGTTTTGTTATCACACAAATACACTACACAATTCAAAGCGCAAACATCACCTGCAGTTTTCGAGAAGCTTCAGGACTAGGACTGTAGTAGATCATATCGATAAGATCACGCCAACTCCGCGAACTGTACATATTATTCGGGAACCTACGTCTCGCCAGGGATAACGCTAAAATATTCAATTGAAAGAGTATAAATGCCGATGCACTTCGCCGCTTCTCAGTAGTTAATCGACGGCCGACGCTCCGTTCAGTGCTATCTGTGCAAGACTGCTTCTAGAAGCAGACTTTCCATTTACCGGGCACAGGTTCGCCCAAATAAACAGTTGAATCCCAACATCAAGTCTCCGGTCTTTGGCCACGTCACTACCCCGTGACAATATATTCATACAGAAAAAATCACACGCGATATTTATACAAATCCACAGCACTAAAATGAACACGAGAACACAACAACGGGCATTTACGTTCGACGAGATGCCTCCGGCAATGTTGCCCTTCCGAACGTCGACGTCTGACCACGGCCAACGCGTCTTTTTTCTCGAGCTTCTAGCTCCGGCTGCCTGGCCAATATGGCCTGTTCTTTTTTCTTTAGCCCGTGCCACGCGGGCACGTGCAGCGACGCGACGCTGAAGATGGGTGCACGTGCTTGCTTGTTTTCGCCCCCAATCCGTTGTCTTCTTAGCGGCATCGGGGGACTTCATCACAGCTGGTAATACGTGAGTAATTGGACCATTTAATGACGA